GCAGAGTCTTGATATGAAAGTATCAATTGTCTTTATATTTCCATTTTCAAAATACATAGGTTTTGTTGTTGGGTTACAACTTTTTAAAAAATTTAGGAATGAATGAAGGAATTGAAGGATCAACCAATAAAGGATGGTGCATCCCCGTTGTCTCAAGAAGAGATTGTATGCACTGTCCTTGGCAATAGGTCCAGTTATGGGGTTGGCCCAAAATCATCTTCTTCAATAAATGTTGCCAAAACTCTTGAACATGAGCAAGAGGTAAGAGGTTTGAAGACAGTTGTTGTGACTCTTCAGGGTGAAAATGAAAGCAAACAAAGAGAGTTGGATGAGACTAAGGCAAAACTCGAGTAGATGGAAAAGACACAAGAGATGATGTTGCGGCAAATGACAAAGGTAAAGTTGGCGATGCAACGTGGTGGAGACAATAGGAAGACTAGCGAGACGACTTCATCTTGATAAGTATTTTCAGTTCTAAATATATGCTTAATTTACTGTTTATTCTAGCAAATAATTTTTTAGTTTTGCTAATGCACTTTTGTTGTGTTTGATACAGATTAACAATAGATTACTTGGAGTTGGTTTTGGCAATGAGATATCTTCCTCTATGATCCAAGTAGTTCGAGTTCTTGTGACATCTAGATATTGTGGCATTTATTTTTTTTTCAATTTTGTTTTTTACATGGGATGTTTTGGTATGAGTTCTTGTATGAATGTTTTTAAATGTGTTTTGAATTAATGATTTGGAAATTATTTTTTGTTTTGTTTTATGGATTATTTATTTATAATGATCTTCAATGATTGAAGCACTACAGTGAATTATTTTGATTTGTTACAAGGACAATAGTAATCATAAAATGTCATTCTTTAGAAATGATTTTGTTTGGCAATGAGTAAAATTTGGTCGCTAAAAATCTCTTATTTTTGTGACAAATAAATTTTGTCACCTATTATTTAAAGGTGAGAATATTCATTTGTTATTTGGCGACGAAAATATGTTAGATACAAAAAAATTTACCTTAATTTTCAGCGACAAATATTCTGTCATCGTCAAAGAGAAAAAATATGACCATAATATAATTTCTTTCGATGACGAAAATATGTTAATTGCAAAAAATGTACCTTAATTTTCAGCAACAAATATAATATCATCGCCAAAGAGAAAAAGTATGACCATAATATAATGTCTTCTGACGATAAAAGTTTTTTTGTGACAAGTAGATGAATTTTTAAGCGACTAAGTTTTTTGTCACTAATAATCTACTTTAGTGATGATACATTAGTTAGTCGTAAAAGATTTTCAGTGGAGAGCTTGCCGCGACAAATTGGCGACCAAATTTTTTTGTCGCAAAAAATTTTTAGCGGTGAATTATTCACTTTTAGCGACAACTTTTTTTGCCACTAAAAACATTTTCTTGTAGTGTATAGTTCTGACATTTACTTTCTTGTGCAATTACACATCGAGTTATGTTATTCAGCATAAGGCTCCCTCATAGGTCTTATTTCTTGAGCGAACACATTTTTTGGTCCCTTCTCGGGTATTTGGTTGTACATGTTTTATTCAGGATCAGTATCCCACTTGTTGTAAGCTTTACAATACAGTTATTGGTTGTGTCTTTGTGGGCTACTGTCAACAGTCTAAGGGATATCGGTGTTATGATCCAATCTAGTGTCGTATGTATCACAATCTAGATGTTACCTTTCTTGAGCATGTACCTTATTTTTATGTTTTTAGTCCTATGTCTGCATCACCAATTGATGATACTCCATTTGATTTTTCTTTACCATCGGAGCCACTAGTCACTGTCACTACAGAGTTGTCAATTACACATGATATCCTATGGTCTCCTCCTTTCTCATCCCCCTACTGATATCTCTTCTACTTCAGGAGAAAGTAAGATTTCTCAGTTAGCTGAGCATATTGTTGAGCCTATTGTTAGCACTTATGAGACTGCAAGTGTTGAGACTGATGAAATTACAGGTGTTGATGTTGTTGCACTAGGTGATTTATCTAAAGAGACTATGTTTGTAGAGGATGATGATTCATGGCGTCGTTATCCTCGTCGTGACCGCCGGCTAGTTGTTTGTTATGGTTGGGCCACCAGGGCTTTATATCCAATCTCAGGTTATGTCTCTTATACTGAGCAGTCTCCTACATTTTGGGCTTATAGTATGCCATTATCAGATACACCAATTCCACACTTTGTTTCAAAGGATATGCAGAGCCTCAATGGGTTCTTGCTATACAGACAGAGATGGACACTCTTCAGTGTAACCATACATGGAATCTTGTTTCTTTATCTTCAGGGATGAAGCTTGTTGGCTTTCGCTGGGTTTACACCCTGAAGTTTCTTGCAGATGGTACTACTGATTGTTACAAGGCTAAGCTTGTGGCGAAAGGCTTTACTCAAGTTTTAGGTCACAATTTTGGAGCTACCTTTACCCTGGTGGCAAAGTTGTCTATAGTTCATTTGATTACCGCTCTGGCTACCTCGTATTGTTGGTTCTTTTATCAGTTAGATGTGAAGAATGTGTTTCTTCACGATGACCTAGACGAGACTATTTATATGGATGCACCATCTGACTTTCGTGGTGAAGGAGAGTATGCTGGGAAGGTGTGTCGACTACATAAGTCTCTTTATGGACTGAAACAATCACCATGAGCCTTGTTCTCTCAGTTTAGTAGTGTGGTTATATGCTTCAGCTTTACCATATGTCATTCTGATCATACATGCTTCATTCGACAGAATATTATTGAGTAGTGTGTCATTCTCTTGGTATATGTAGATGATGTTATTATTAGTGGGGATGACATTTCTGGGATTACATAGGTCAAGGTTGACCTTGGGAAGGCATTTGATATGAAGGACCTTGGATTTCTATAGTACTTTCTTGGGATGAAGGTTGCATGTAGCAGTGGGGTCTTGTTATCTCTCAAAGAAAGTACGTTCTGGATCTTCTCTCAGACGTTGGAATGTTGTGGTGCAAAACTACATCATCACCTATGATTCCAAACTTGAAGCTTACTGTTGATGGTGAGGAATTGAGAGATCCGACTATTTATTAGAGGCTGGTAGGTAGGTTTATCTACCTAGCCAACACTAAGCTAGACATTTCATTTGTCATTAGTCGGGTCAACAATTCATGCACAAGTCATGTCAGTCTCATTTGGATGAGGTATATCATATTCTTCGGTACCTCAAGTCTTGTCCTGGACTTGGGTTGTTATATGCATTGGAGTCACAGATTGATTCTCTAGCCTGTTATTCAAATTCAGATTACGGTAAAGTTTGTGACGGTCGATCTACTACGAATTTCTGTGTTTTTCGAGGGACTCTTTTTATCTCTTGGAAGACCAAAAAGTAGGCAGTTGTCTCCGTTCCTTAGCAGAGGCAGAATATCGGGCACTAAACTAGGCACATGTAAAATTATCTGGCTATGGTCTTTTCTTGGCAAGTTGGGATTTTCAGTGACTTCTCCATCTACATTATATTGTAATAATCGATTAGCTATTTAGCTCACTTCTGACTCTGTACGATACGAGAGGATAAAGCATATAGAGATCGATATTCACTTTTTTCAGGAGAAGGTCAGCTGCGGCATTGTTAACCCATCGTTTGTGGGGACTAATGATCAGGTTGCGGATTTCTTTACTAGACTTGTCACTCTATCCATTTTTCGGGTCTCTATTGTCAAGCTTAGATTGATTGACATCTTTGCGCCTAACTTGAGGAGGAGTGTTGGAGTTATAGCCTAGTTATTAGGATATTTAGGTTTTTATCTATTTTGTCCTTACTATGATTTTTATGCCTTACCCAAACTAGAGGGGTATTCTAGTTAGTTGTACTCTTATTTTTGCTATATATATATAAGGTTCTACACTCAGTTTGTGCATCTTTTTTACTCCCAACAATTCTAGTATCCCGATCCGATTCTTGGGTAATTTCCGCAACACTTTGAAGCTAGGCTGAATCTAATGTTTATATATATGGATATCCTGTAATATTGTTTGGATGCTCAATTTTAAGTCTTTCTTTCCACTTCTACTCTTTGCCATAAATAGTCCAACGACTGTGTTCTTTTATTGCTGCCTTTTATTGTGTTGGAACTATTGGAGTGGCTATTGGTTGATGCATCGTGTGTTTTGTTTCATAGATCTTGTATGAAAATAGGATTTTTACATGCGTTCGGGCATGCTGGAATACTCTCGTGTCGATCATTTGCAAGAATTGAACAGGGATTGAGGCTAAAATTTGTATGATTGTGCCCATGAATTTTCCAACTGTTTGTGTCAATATTTATGAGATAAAGGCCACAATTTTGGTTACATAGTAAATAATTCAACGAACGACTGAGAGGTTTATGCTTTTCAAGACATTGTTTTCTACACGAACAAGTTCCAGTTTTAATTTAGACTAATTTGTGCATACGATCCAAGTAACAAATGTCCAAGTTTCCTTTGGATCTCAATTCCAATATGATCCCCATGCTTCATTAGCCCATACTGCTCCGGAAAGAATGTGTTTCTTGCTTTGCCCGCTATCCGTCATCCCATTCACTTTGTCCAGGCTGGTAAGGAGAGAAAGGGACACCTGGGGGAGATGAAGTAGAACCAATTGAAGTAGATGTTTCAGGAGTTCATTGAAGCTTACGGACTTTATTCTACTTGAGTTTAGTGAGTGGGTTCTGTTGTGGATGGGGATGGATGCCCTTAAGCAATAGTAGTGTAAAAAATAACACGTTGCATCTGCATTCTTCACAATTGAGTTTTAGATCATCTTTAAACTTTTGAGTACTAGCAAATTTGTTTCAAAACTTTCCTTTTAGATGATTATAGATCCTCTGATTGTCGTTTACTCAGACAAACCTGAGATTGAGTAAGGTAAAAGACAGTCATATTGTACTTCCACCCCCCCCCCCCCCCAAAAAAAAAAAAAAACAAAACAAAACAAAAAATTAAATAAAAAAGAACACCCTGCACTGCTGTGTATATGTGGTGTACTGGGAACCATAGTAAAAACCTATTGCAGCATCCTATATACAATGATATAACTGATTGGCAGAAACTCCATGAAACTGTGCTGCCGGATGTAACGAGAGGTCAAACTAGAAATGCCTGAAGCCTCAACTATACCTGCTTGAAATGGCTCTGCTCCCCCTCAAACGAAATATCTCTGTGACTTTGAAATTCACCGAAGGCTGATGGTCAATGATCCACTCAAACTATGCATCAGAGCGTGTGTTGGGGGGCGGGGGGTTTTGCGTGAGAGAAAGCACATTGATTTCTTAGTTTCATTGTTCATTCTGTATCTCCAAAATTTAACTACTAATATACACAAAAAACAACTTAATTGAATCTAAGACATTTCCATCTTGTCTTCCTCCTCAATTTCCTTCTGCGCTACAGGAGAGAGAGGAGAAGAAGGTGAAGAGAAAGAAGAAGCTGCAGAAGAAAATGAAGTAGAATCAGAACAAGAAGCGGAAAGCCCAATCAACAAGTCAACAAATGCTCCAACTATAAACCCATGGTTCATCTTCCCATTTATCTTCAAGTACCACCCCAACAACTCCTCTAAACACTCCCAATCTTTCAAACCATGACTCTCCACCATCTCCTCCATTGATTTCTTGAAATCCATGTAAGGATTCTCCGACTCCATCGCTAGCGCCACACTCTCCTTAAATGGAAACTCATCTGCTTTTGCATCCACCAAGATCGAACTCGTGCCACCAGGCTCGAAAAACAGCCTCTCTGATCGAACCCCACGTATGATCGTCTCCAATGACTCCCCTGCAGAGTACTCCTCGGATTCAGTTGAAAAGCTAGCAGACTCCGAGGAGTTTGTGAACCAAGACTCCGGTGTTTCGAACCCATCATTTGGAGCGAAGAAGATCGAGTTTACGGTCTTGAACATGTCATCCCCGGCCCGAAACGACATGGTCCTGGGGTGCTTGCATGAGGACCATTGCCATGGATGATCCCTTGCATCTTTGTTCTTGAAGAGAGAAGGGAGCTTCATTTTCTTGCCCATATGAGCTGAATCACTTGTTTTTGGAGCTGGGTTTAAATGACTATTTAGATATGTGAATTGCGTGTGTGTGTTGTGTCCTTGGTTTTTGTTATGAATGGTGATCAGGGGAAGAGCAGGAGGGGATATAAAAGGAGAGGTGAGAGGGAGGTGGAAAGGACATGGGTCTAGTAGGACCTTTCATGTGTGTATTTAATTATAGGTATGAAGAATTTAATGTTGTTAAATGCAGCCTCACAACACAACGAATGATCATTCAAACAACTAATGCTTTAGTTAATCTCTTAATTTATGTTGTAAATTTCTTTTTTTTAGATTTTTTTTTTTTTACAAAAAAGTTTTTAAGTATATATATGTTACAGCTTTTAAACCAAAGATTGTAAACACCATAAACATTTTCCCTCCATAGAATGGTAAATGCAAGGAATATTAGAATAAACACCCCCCTCCAAAAAAAAAACCACTAATTTGCATGGAAGGATCTCAACATTGAAATTGCTAACGATTTGATAAGCAACAATTTCTTAGCATTATCAGGAAAATAATGGAATTAATGTTTTTATAACGTGACATTTTGGACGAAGAGAATACGCACATGTTAGAGTTAGACAACTTTAGTGACATTTTTCATTTTTGTTAGCCAGAAGGAATTCAAAACTCTTAGAGTATTGTCTAATCTTTGCGAGCACATCTAATCCCTTCCTCTTACATGCACCCTGAAAATTACCAATTAGCATAAAATCGAGGGTGGGATCTTTGCAAAGTGAACTGGCCTGTCTACCCATTTGGGTTAACTTAAATGGAACCTTATGGCTCCTGCAAATAAGATTAGATGACTAAACTATGGTATTTGATTTGGGTCCAAACTTGGAAACAGTCAAAAAGTTAATAAAAAAAACTACTTTTACCCAGCTATTCCCAATATGAGGAGTTAGCTTGGCCCTTGAGGGGGTGGCAATGTTTATGCAGCTTTGACCATGCTTTGGGTGGCATGGGATGGGCGCTCATTTACACAGCTTTCTTTGACTATGCTTTAGTCAGTTTACTAACTGAAAATGACCCATTTGGTATTCTATGAAATTCATGCAGACAAGATCAAACTTTCTTATGGAAAAAAAAACCAGCTACCCCACGATAAGGCCTGAATCATGTGAGCTATTTAAGAAGGAACAGTAGAAAACTCACACACATTGCACACACTCACATAATGTCCTTGCCAAAGTATTTAAGGGGTGAGATTGTGATCTCAAGGGGCAGGCCTCTAGTTTACTATCTTACGCTTTCTTTTCTCTCTCCAATTTCCATATTCTGAGTTCTGTCCATTAAAATATATGCTAATGTAAGGCTCCATGACCATGTCACAGATCACAGTCTCTTTCTCTTGGACTTTTATGGCAGTGACTAAGACATCGCAACTGTTACAACCTGCTCAGTTTTAATTTAATGGTAGTCAGATGTTATAAATAATATAACTGTTATCGTTCACCACAGAGCATATCTCTCCACCCTTTTTTAAGCTCATGGAAGATCTGAACTCAATTAAGGGACACTGCTAGAGGCATTTGCATCGACTATACCAACACCTTTGGGTGAGAAAAGTGTACACTAACAAGTAATTTATCACCATATTTGGAACAGAACCCATTTCAATCATGTGTTTTTTAGATTTATAATAATAACGTAAACATCGAATGCACACAATCATATACAACTACCTATTTGGGTTAAACATGGCTTTTATGTGGCTAAGGGAACTCAAACTTGAGATGTACTAAATTATAATTTGCCTGTTAGTTAAAAAATTGAAACAACACGCGCGGTTTTACAAGTAAATTATCGCTAAGACATGTTTCTATTCTCTATTGAGACAATTATCTGTACAATGCCATGTGCATTGCCCCTAATAATCCACTTCTGTGGTACAAAAACAATCAACCACCCTAAGAAAGACAACACAGAGGGTCCTTCCAACTGTTGAACTCATCAATTCATGCTGGAGAGCAATGACAATTGATGGGGGGCCTCCAATCATATCACAACCATACTGTTTACCAAATCTTAGCATAGTTTGTGAATCACAAAGCTTGGTGCAGGTTTGTGCACACGGGGCATGTTTCTTCACATGTAGACAAATGGCATAAGCTCAGTTGACATAATACTTCTTCTCCTGCCAAAGATTATAGATTTTCTTTATCCAATTGTGTTCCCAGTGGAGTGCTTACCCTTACCCTGTTGGTGATGACTGCATCAGCAATTAAAATTAAATCCCCCCAAAGTCTTGAGAGCCAAATGGTTAAGTACACATATGAATTCACTAAATGGGTAAACAAGTACAACATTGACCTAGTTTCTGAAAATGTGTATTGGGTTAATTATATTTTACTCTATTAAATTATGACTCTACTTTGACTTTACTCTCTCGACTATTCATTTGAACATCGTTGCACCTATAACTATTGAAATTCATGACATTTGACAAAATGTGGTAGATTTTGGATCGAAGTTATCGGCACAATTAAATTTTTCAAATCTTTAGGATAGCAAAGACGAGCCCCACTCCATCACTAGGGTAACATTTCCGTGAATTTTGAAAAATATATTTAATTAAAATGTGGCACCATATCCACATCTACACAAACTGCAAATTGGGGTGTTACAACAAAACAGACTAGCACCTTATCCAAAGATTCCAACAACAACCTACTAGTTTTTTCTAAATTTAATTTTTTTTAGGGTAAATTACATTTTGACCCCTCAAACTATGGACTTCATTTCACTTTACCCCTTAAACTATTGAATTTTTCACATTGCCCCTTCAACTACTCAAATTGTTACACATTGCCTCAATCATAAACATGCACTATCTTTTTCGACGAAAATTGCTAATGTATGGGGATAGAGTGAAAAGAATTACGTACTTTGGGGTCAAAAAGAACAAATTCTTGTTAAATATGTAACGGACATTAATAATTAGGGTGATGTGCAACTAATCACATAGTTAAGAGTACAATACGAAAAATATAATAGTCGAGGGAATAATGTAAAAAAAAAAAGTATCATAGTTGAGGGGTCAAAGTGTAACTTACCCATTTTCTTAATAAAAAAGGCCTCATCTATCTGCTCGTGTGATTAACAGAACCTTGTGTTGGAACCTTGAGATATTTGACTTCATTTGATGGATTTTTGAACAGACAGATTTGTGTGTATACAGAACTGGTTTGTCTCCTCCCTACAACCATCCATTATTTGTTGAAGTTATCGACAAACTAGGCACATGCTACCTTGAATTCGTACGTTTGGTGGCTTAATCATAGCTTTTTATGTGATAATTTCTGATTAAAGTTCAATTATTGCAAGGATTATGAAACTTACCCACTATTCATAGTGTCCCATTTAATAATACAAAAATTAAAAATATTAATTAGTAATACTTCTATTCAATTCACCCACAATTATGCTAGATTAGTTCTTAAACATGTTTTTTTTTCTTAGAATACTTAATTTAATCATCTAATTAATCATTATAAATGGATGGTTAGTGAATCCCAACCATAAGCAAATTAATCCCAAATATTATTATCTTTCTTAATGTATCCCAATGTACATCTGAAGCGAATGGACGCGAGATACAAGGAGGGAAAGTGCACACAGTTTTAAGAATATTTCTTTGAAAAAATATTCATCCATTCTTAGTTCATCGTGGTTATCCGCTTATAACAATTAATTTCTATGATTTTAAAAAAAATTAAAAAAAATCATAAAACCTCACAAATAGATTTGCAAGAAGGATGAAAACTCAGTACATAACAACTGGATCAAACATAAAAACTCACAAAAATAATCTAACCCAACATCTTTGATACCTCATACATATCGAAGCATCCACTTCACAATCAACCAATAAATTTGTAATAGCATAAGGAACACATGACATGTACTTCATCTCTCCCTCAATCTGTAGTGACAACTGTACAAATATCTTGTGATAGATTCAATTATCATACTCATTTGTGCGACAACTGTTCAAATATCGTACCATAAAACAAAACAAACCATATGCTGAAAGGTAAATAAGCTAGTAGCATCATTGATAGCTTGATTAGAAGTTCGAGAAGGGGTCTTTGAAAAAGCTAGCTAAGCTCAATTGTTGTACAAAAATTTAAAGTTGATTTCCATCCTACTCCATTTCATATGGAAACAGAAATCATGTGAACATTTTCTCTGTGTAGATTGGTAGATGAAAGCATCCTAACAAAAACCAAAAAGGTTTGTAGTATGGAGGCATTCCAAGCACAAATCGAAAAATAGAGAACCGAGGAGATTGATATTCGTTATAATGAGAAAAATATTTTTGGAAAAATTCTAATTGTTAGAGTTAGGCAAATTTAATGGCAGTTTCGTTTTTGTTAACTAAGAGATATCTTGACTTTTTAGAGTAACTGACTAATCCTCGCAAGCACATTCAATCCTGCAATCCATGCATTGGAAAGGAATCTAGTTGCTAGTGGCAGTTAAGATTGCATGAATAATCTATATAATAATGACCAAAAAAAAAAATTATATAATAAAGTATAATACAATTCAAATTTCAAAAGATAAATAAAATAATTTTTACAATTCGCGGTTGAAATCTCTTTAAATTTTATTTTAATATTATTCTGACGACTAATATTAACACTCCAAATTTAATTGAGAAAATAGGACCCTAAAGATGTGTTTTATGTGACTTTTTAAAAGTGCTTTTAATATTTATACTTTTTCATAAATACTTCAAAAAAAAAATAGTATTTGGAACCATCACCTCCATCGCCCCACCACCATCATCACTGCCACCACCGCCCCACCACTTCAACCTTAACCCTAATCCTACCTTGGATTGATAAATTCAACCCAAGCACCGCCAGAGTTTAATTCGGGCGGACTCAGGTTGAATTCAAGTTAATGATTTCAAGCTGATTTTGAGTTACTTTACGGACTGATTTCAGGTTTATATTCTAAACCTG